GTTCAGCACTTGCACAGCACTTCGGTCATGGGCAATATCATCCACGTGGAGCTGGACACCAAAGGTGAGTGGAGGCCCGCTCAGGACAGCCACCGCGGAGGAGCCACAAGCCCTGTCAGTGTGACCCCCTCCTCTCCCAGAGCCCCTCTTGCAGTGTTGGGGAGCCCCTCACTCTTCCTTAGGTGCCCCCCTACAACCTTTTGCCCCCTCCTGAGGGTAGAGTCACGTGAAGCTAAATGTGTTGTCTGTTGCTAGGAGACAAGCTGTAATTTACCAAATGTGCCGGTTCTTGGCCACTGAACCCCAAGGGACCACCCGGAGGCCTCCCCACCGCTGACACCCCCTCGGGCCCCGCGCGGAGCCCTGGTGGCCTGGGTTTAGGCAGTCCCCAGTGTTGCCGTCTGTGTTAGGAGAGAAAGCAGGGTTCGTTTATTTGTGGGGGGGGCGCTGAGGGAGAGCCACTAGAACGCCTTTAAATACCCAAAGAGTATGTCCCTCCACTAAAAAGAGAGTCCTCCAGGGATCTGGAGTGCCCCTCCCCCGCAGGCCGCCCCTTCCCCTTGGAAGTGGGAACCAATCTGGGCCCAGAGTGTGGTTTCATTGATAATGCTCCCGTTGGAGCTGGGCGGGCTGCTCCTGGTGCTCTAGGGTTGACACTGTCTTCCCTCCTCTCTCTTAAAGAGACAGCACCACCTCCCAAGCAGCGGAATCCCGCTTGTGCTCACTGAGCCTCTGAGCGGCTGCTGGGAGAGCCGGGCTGGGGAAGCCATGCCTCCCAACGTCAGGGTCCTGGGAGGCTTCTCCTCCGTGCTGGCTGGGGGGCTGGCAGGACTCTAGGGCATCCCCTAAAGTTTGCCTATGGCCTCTCTAGAGAAGTTCGTACCAATACAGAAGAAAGTGCCCGGTGCTCTGAGGCCCAGCCAGCCCTGTGACTGGTCAGAGACTGTTGGGTCCAGAGCCCCTGGGACGTCCCCTGGGAGACCCTGCATGGGAGGGTTTAGGTGAGTGGCTTCCAAGGGTTTCGTGAGCACGGGGTTTAGGGCCAATCCGGGCACACCAAACCCAAGACTGGAAAATGTAAACCTTTCTTTTTCGCCTTTAATAATGAGCACATATTGACTGTCTCTAAGACCTTGCTTGGGGATGCGGAGGGATACTGCTTCTGGGTGGGCACAGTTATCCTATAAACTCTTGCCAAACCTGTGCCTAATTCTGAGGTTCCTCAGGGCACAAGCCAGTTTCCTATTCCAGCCACAGCACCCTTCACCCCCCTTCTCCAGTTTCTCAAGTCTCTGTTGGGGAGACCCCTTGGGTGGTTGCAGGCTGATCTCTCCCTGAGAATCAAATGTAGAGCCCCTCCCCCATCACATGCCCATTTTAAGGAGCAGTCAGCCCTCACCAAAATTTCATTTCTGCAAAAAAAAAGAAAAAAGAAAAAAAGAAAAGGCCCTTAGAGACTGCCACCAAGTTTGTATTTCAAGAAAGAGACCGGTAAAGAGTAGCTCAAGGAATGCGTCTCCTTTGCATATGTAAGCAGCTGCCTCAGAGGGCTCTATAAATATAGATAATCTGGCCCCCTGGTCTATAGAGGCCTCTCTCTGCCAGGGGGTGGGGCTGGGGTGGAGGGTTACCAGAGTGGCTCAGTGGGCCGGTGGAGGACCTTGTGGAGTTCACAGTAACGCAGTACTGGAGTGCATTTTACAAACTCTGACAGTCACCTGAGAGAGTTAACAACAAAACTGTCACTCCTGTGTCACTGCATTTCCTCTTCACTTGCTACAAGGCCCTGGATGTTAAGTGGGAAGGTGAGAGGATGGGGATTACCCCTTTCTTTGGGTGGCATGGCCCAGGTGACAGGAAGGGGCTTTGTGTTGGGGCTGGCATTTCTGTATTTGGGGGAGTCCCAGCGCCACGAGGCATTAAATTCTGAATCTCAGGATCAGAAAAATCATACAGTTTAGCAGCTTCATTGAACAGATCGGACTCCGGAGTGAGGTGATAGGACTCCTGAGTGAGGTACAAAGAGAGAGAAGTGGGAACTTGGTCAGGGTCACTTAGCTTCCCTAGGCTTGGGGTCCCAGGCACAGGGGCCCCACAAGGATGCCCACCTGTGCGGGCTGCCCCATCCTGGAGCCTCACTGAGTCCTCCCTCCCTTGCCTTTTCCACAGGGGAAACCCGCATGCGGTTCTACGAACTGTTGGTCACGGGCCGATACACACCCCAAACCCTCCCAGTGGGTGAGCTGGATGCTGTCTCTCCAATCGTGAATGAGACCCTGCAGGTGGGTTTATAGCTGTCAGTCCTTTCCCCGCCTCCCCACCCCATCACCAGCTCCCTGATGTGGCTGGCCCCCACCCCACTTCACCACCTCCGGTGTCAGACACCAGGAAAGGAGCCTGGCTGTGCACACCAAGGCTTTCAGCAGGGGGTCTGAAAGCCCTGTTTGCCAAAGCCATCCTCTGGCACTGCCCCCAGCCCTCTCCCTGCACATGCTGGGATTCCCATCCCAGAGATCCAGAGTCCACGTGCTTTCCACGTTAATGCTGAAACACTGCTGTGTCCAGGGTCCTAGTGTCTGGTGTCCCATGCACCCCTCTACCCCTGCCCCCAGAAAGCCGAGTTCAAGTCCCTCCTTCCAGAGCAAGATGGATTCCTTCCCCACCCACCGCCTCCCAGGACCTCACCTGGACCACCATCTCATGGGGAGGTTCTCATCCCAGCTCCTACCCCAGCATCAACCCAGCCACCCTCTGGAATAGGTTTTCCAGAGTGAAGAGTCTTTGCTTACTTGCTGGTCAGCTGTTTATCAGGCACTTTACGTGTTACACTATTTTTTTTTTTTCTTTTCCGGTACGCGGGCCTCTCACTGTTGTGGCCTCTCCCGTTGCGGAGCACAGGCTCCGGACACGCATGCTCAGCAGCCATGGCTCACGGGCCTAGCCGCTCCGCGGCATGTGGGATCCTTGCGGACCGGGGCATGAACCCGTGTCCCCTGCATCGGCAGGCAGACTCTCAACCACTGCGCCACCAGGGAAGCCCTACGTGTTACACTATTTAAACCCTAAAACATCAAGAGGTTGGAGGGACAAGGCCCTTGGCCACCCCCTCACTTCCAAGACCATCGTCTGCTATCTCTACCTGGAAGGTCTTTGATTTCTGACAGCCTGGGGCAGGAAGGAAATCCTAGTTCAAACCAAGATGTCAGGGTCTTATCTTTACTCTGCTTTAGGGATTAGGAAAAACCCTCAAGGTTCTCTGAGGATAACTGGCTACCCCAAGAGTAGAGGAGGTGAGGACCATCCAGACACTCCTCTTTAATCTCCCCCCTTCCCCCTGCCGCCGTTGCTTCCGTTCACTATGCTGCATTTCTAGAGTGACCAGTTTGGCTCCGAGCTCCCCGGTAGCTGGAGTGAGAGGGGAAAACAGTCCCATTCTATTGCACGTTTCCCCCCCAGTGATCTCAGACCTATCTCTCTCTCTCTCTCTCTCTCTCTCTCTCTCTCTCTCTCTCTCTCTCTCAAGCTGTCAGATGCCCTGAAGCGCCTCAAAGATGGTGGTCTGTCTGCAGGCTGTGGCTCTGGCTCATCCTCTGTCACCCCCAATAGTGGTGGGACACCCTTCTCCCAGGACACTGCTTATTCCAGCTGCCGCTTGGACACGCCCAACTCCTACGGACAGGGCACACCGCTCACACCGCGCCTGGGCACCCCCTTCTCGCAGGACTCCAGCTACTCCAGCCGCCAGCCCACACCCTCCTACCTCTTCAGCCAGGACCCCACAGCGACCTTCAAGGCTCGGCGCCACGAGAGCAAGTTCACGGACGCCTACAACCGCCGCCACGAGCATCATTATGTCCACAACTCTTCTGCAGTCACCGCAGTGGCAGGGGCCACAGCCACCTTCAGGGGCTCTGTGGACCTCCCATTCGGGGCAGTCAGCAGCAGTGGGGGCGGCAGTGGCCCTCCATTCAAGGCCCAGCCACAGGATTCAGCCACATTTGCCCACACTCCACCGCCTACCCAAGCAGCCTCCGCTCCTGGAGTCACATTCAAGTCGGCTTTCTCTCCATATCAGACTCCTGTACCCCCTTTCCCCCCGCCCCCCGAGGAGCCCGCTGCCGCAACCCCCTTTGGGGCCCGTGACAGTGGGGAGTTCCGGAGAGTACCTGTGCCCCCACCCCTGCCGCCCACTGAGCCCCTGACGAAGGAGAAGCCAGGCACACCACCTGGACCCCCGCCCCCTGATGCCAACAGCATGGAGCTGGGCGGCCGGCCGACCTTTGGCTGGAGCCCTGAGCCCTGTGACAGTCCTGGTACGCCCACGCTGGAGTCATCGCCTGCAGGGCCCGAGAAGCCCCATGACAGCCTGGACTCACGGATCGAGATGCTGCTGAAGGAGCAGCGCACCAAGCTGCCCTTCCTTCGGGAGCAGGACTCAGACACCGAGCTGCAGATGGAGGGCAGCCCTATCTCCTCCTCCTCCTCCCAGCTCTCCCCACTGGCCCCCTTTGGCGCTAACTCTCAGCCTGGCTTTCGAGGCCCCACACCACCCTCCTCACGCCCATCCAGCACCGGCCTGGAGGACATCAGTCCCACACCACTGCCCGACTCGGATGAGGATGATGAGCTTGACCTGGGCCTGGGGCCCCGGCCCCCACCTGAGCCAGGCCCCCCAGACCCTACTGGTCTTCTGGGTCAGACAACTGAGGTGGCCTTGGACCTGGCTGGAGACAGGACCCCAACCTCAGAGAAGATGGATGAGGTACCATGATGTCTGTCCACCTCTGTCTGGGATTGGTTTTGTCTGTCTGTGGCTCCCTCTTTCCTCCTTGAAACATTCTCCCCTTAGGATAACTAGCTAAGACACAGAAGCAGCAGGGCTAGGGCAGCCAAAATAACAGATCAAAAATAAAAAGAGAATGAAAAGAGGATACGAAAAGCGCCAGGGGCTATGACTGAGCAGCTGGTTTGCTCTGAGCTCCCTAGCAGCTTTGGTGAAAAGAGAAACCTGACCTAGATCTGTTGCTCTCCTTGCTAGGTATGGGAAGTCAAGACCTTTTTCTGGGGGTAAATTCTGACTTGAGCTTCTTTGGTTGGAGTTTGCAGAGATCCCAGAGAGGTGGACTGTGGTGATGGTTTGGGGCCTCCTTCTCCGTTGGGAGGCTGGGACCTGCTCAGGACTGGTCCTGACACTCAGGCAGATTTGGGAAGAGGGATCAGCCAGAGTGCTCTGCTGAGCTAGGTCAGGTGGCAGCTCTGGAGCACTGTCTCCTAGAACCTGGTGCCCTCTGAAGAGATGGGAAACCGTGGTGGGCAGGGAGGACATTGAAATGTTCCTCCTCCCTCTCCCCCTGCGTCCAGGACTGAAGGAGTTAAGGGCTAGCCCAGGGGGAGGGCCACAGCCAGAAGCAGGCCGAGTTGACCACCCCCCACCCTCTGCCCACCCAGAGATCCTTCTCTGGGGTCTCACTGCAGCCTGAGGGTTGAGGTGGGTGCTGCTGCATGCCACATTCCCTTGGGGGAGGATTCCGTCATCTTCCTTGGCTCTGCTCCTCCCTGCTCCTGGTCCAGGCACCTGCCCTGGCCCTCCTGGCCTGGCAGGCATGAACAGCAGGAGCTCAGACACAGCTCTGCGCCCCCCGTGGGCGGTAGGGAGGAGGGTCCCTCCTCCCCGAGTCCTTTGATTAGGCTGATGTGGCCGCCTCAGGGAAGAACAGAGAGGAACTTGGCTTGCCTGGGAGGGGACTGCAGGTGGCTGGGGCTCCTGGGGGCCTCCAGGCTGTTCTGGGGAAGTGGTTTCTGGCGCTAAGGGGTTCAGGCAGGGAGAGCTGACAGGTGTGCAGAGGTGGGGGGGTGCTGCTGGCCCTGCTGCCATCCTCCCTTCTTCCCTCCCTCTCCTGCCTGAGGTTAGGGGATGTTTATTTAACCATGCTCACTGGCTGATCCAGGGCCGGGAAGCCCAGAGTAGCCAGAGGGAATGGGATTTCCCACGGTGTCACTCTAGGAAAGGGGAGACTGAGGCCCAGAGAGCTGGGGTCGGGGATGCCCCGGGACATCAGCCCAGGGAAGCCCGTGAGTACTGATAACCTCCAAGATGGCCCTCGGGAGCCCCCTGCTGACAGTCGGGAGAGCAGCTCCTGGGTTCCTCCGGCCTGAACCCGAGGGAATCCCAGCCTAGGCTGACCACAGGGGAGAGCAGCACAGGGGGACACTCCCTTTCTTCACAGAGGCTGATAGTTAAAAGTTCCGGCTCCAGTCCTTAAGTCTTGAGCCCCACCCCTGTCACTTACTAGTCATGTGGCCTTAGGGAAGTTACTTTCCCTGCCCGAGTCTCAGTTTCGTCATCTGTGAAATGGGATAGTGAGAGTAGCTGCCTCACACTAATCTCGGCTTAAGTGAGGTGCCACCTGGGAAGCTCCAGGCACGGCTGGAGCTGATGCCGAACATTCAGCCGCCAGTTCCCGCCGGTTCTCTGCCCCCGGACTCGGGAGGGGCGGAGGGAGGGGCAGGGCCGCGGGCTGGGCTGGATCAGGGTCTCCTTGTGATTGGCTGGCGGCGGTGCCGGCGTTAACCCTATGCGTGCTGCGCGTGCCTTGCTGGGCGCTGTCCAGGACTGATCTGGCGCTGTCCCTGAGTATCAGGCTGAGCCTGCCAGTGCCTCTCTCAGCATGTGTGTGGGACCCTGAGAGGCAGAGTGTGTCTGTAGAGGGGACAGAGCAAAAGCGAGGGCTTTCTTCTGCTGCCTTAGGTTTGCTTTTCCTCTTCTCTCTCCCCCGCCCCCCATTTCCCTTTGAAGCCTCCCTCACCTGTACATCTGACCTCTGACCTTACAGCCTGCACAGACCCTGCCCCCTCAGCCTTCAAATGCACTCCCTGGCAACCTACAAAGGCTCTGTCTTCCCAGCCACGTTCATCCAGGCCAGGGCCTGAGCCCCCTTCTTGCCTCAGGTCCTGACACAAGAGCCTGGGGGTAGCCCATCCCTCCTCGCCCTACCCCTGCTTTGCCTTCTTGCACCATCTCTACCTTGTGGACCCCGTGCCCCCCTCCAGTTCCAGGCCTGTGCATCCACCTCCCCAAAGCCCCATATCTGAATGAAAAGAGGTCCTTTCCCGTTTCACAGCCAGGTCATGCTCAACTCCTCCCATTCACGAGGTGCCACGGTCCTGGATTCCCACAACAGCCCCCTGACGCCTCACTCAGCAGGCACCCTGGGCTTGCATCCCAGCCCTCTTTCTGACTGGCTGGGCCTCTTGGGCCAGTGATTTATGTATAGCTCACTGAGTGTGTTTCCTCACCTGTCAAAAGGGATTGGACTAGAGCCCTACCTTGTGAGGTTAGGGTGCAGATGAGAAATACGAGATATTATGTGCTGACAACACTCAGCCCCACCGCGGCCCATACTAAGACTATATGAAAAGAGTAACTAAGGAAAAATGTAAAGACATACCTCCTATTCGTGCACCCTTACTACTGCTAAACGCGCCCGCTGCTCGTGTCACCTTCTCTGCCAGGCCCTCTCTGCCACAGTGAAGACTACAGGCCAACTGGGAACAAAGGCTAGTGAGCCACTTCCTGGTTCAAATCCGGGCTCCATCTCTTAGTGGTTGTGTGGCCTGGGCAAGTTACTTAAGCTCTCAAATGTTCCAACTTCCTCATCACTAAAACTGGTGATAACAGACCTACTTTACAGGGTTGTTCTGAGGATTAACTGAGTTAACATACTTAAAGTGCTTAGAAAGGTGCCTGGCCTGTAGAAAAGACTAGAGAAGTTTTAACTATTAGTATTATCTTCTCTGAATGCAAATTGAAACATAGTCTCTCAGATTGAAACAGAATCTTTTTCCCTCTTCACGCCTCACTCCCCTTCCCGGCTTTCTTTTTCTCCATGAAGGACTATATATTTCACATTCCTCCTAGTTATCCTTTGCCTTGTCCCTCCAGAAGTTCAGCTCCAAGACAGCAATAATTTCATCTGTCTTGTTCACCACTGTGTTCCTAGCACCTGGAACAGTGCCTGCTACACAGCAAGTGCTGAGCAAATGTTTGTTGAATGAATGAATGAGTGAATCTGCATGATAACCGCGTGAGGCAGGTACTGTGGTGCTCATCATGCAGATGGGGAGACTGAGGCTTAGAGAGATTAAACGACTTGCTTGAGGCCACGTGGCTGGGAAGGGAGGGAACCAGGATCAGGGCGCGGAAGCCACGTTGCTCTCTCATCTTGCAGAAGGCTTCTTCTCTGACCTGCGGGTGTTTAGCAGGGGGATCTGGGAGCCTGCTGGGCCGCCCGGGCTCACCCTCACCTCTCTCTCCTTTCTCTCCCTGAAGGGGCAGCAGTCCTCGGGGGAGGACATGGAGATCTCAGATGATGAGATGCCCTCGGCCCCCATCACCAGTGCTGACTGCCCCAAGCCCATGGTGGTGACCCCCGGGACGGGGGCTGTGGCAGCTCCCTCCGTGCTGGCCCCGACCTTGCCGCTGCCCCCGCCCCCTGGCTTCCCACCACTGCCCCCGCCC